CAACAACAACAACAACAACAACAACAATAAAAAAACAGAAAAATCTGTCAAGTATTACTGCCTCAATTCCCCCCCCCCCATCTTTTTAGAGAGGAACACATCTTGATGCAGACCAAGACGCATAATTTAATACACCTTTCATATATTATTTATGGGGTACTGTTTGACAAAATCCATACATTCAGTTTACTGCATTATTTTCTGTTAGTATATTTTTGCCCCAGGCTGGGTAAAATGTCTCAGGTACACGCAACGGGATAAAGAGTTGACTCAGAGGAACCTAATGCAACTTGAGCATGGAGATGAGTCACAGCAGGTCCAAACTGCACTGTCACTGTGGACACATGACAGGAAGCTGATGAAACACTAGCAGGGGGTTGGATCAGAATCCTAGCTGTGTTTGTGTATATAAGGATGAATGCTCCAGTACACAGTGTGGTGGTGTGGATGTCGGTTGATGGCGGAGCATTATGCTGGTTTGTGTAAATATTGCTGTATCATGATTGTAAATATTTGCTGCAACTAAGATTAAAAGCCTCTTCAGAAGAACCTCAGCAGTTATGAACTACTTCCAGCCTCGGCAGTGGTGTTTTGTCTTCCTGGCTGGCAATCTGCACATGGACACAGTTATACCCCAGAGCTGACATTTTCTCCCTTAGTAAATTATATCTGACTGGGAAGAACATGTAGAGAAATAAATCACTACTTCAAGACATAAGTGCTCACCAAATGATCTGAAATCTACAATAATCCTTCTCAGGCTGATGTAGGTGACCAGCAACTCTCCCCACCCCCCACCTGCCACAGTGTAGCAGGAACCAGCATTATATTTGTGTCCACTGGCTACAATTGTTTTTTTCTTTCCTGGAAACTTAGCAGGGACCAGCAGCCAGTGGTACCCCTATGGGTAGCACTGATCTATATACAGTGTAGCATGGTGCGATGAAGTGGCTTTAAAAGCTGGGTATTTTGGGGGTGAAGTTCATTTTAATAGTTGGTGTGAGGCAATGGACAGCATAGGAGGAGCAAAACTTTGCCCAGCTGTATAGGAGGGGCGTCCTGGTAAGAGCAAGGATTTAAAAATGCAGAATTCATGTTGAGTCAAGGGGCAGCACTGGATTGGGGCCGGGGCAACCACACGCCGCAGCCCTGATCTGGCTTTTTGCTGCTCCAAAAAGATTTGGCAAATGCTGCTCCTTTTTGGAATGGCAAAAAGCCACCCTTAGCGTCGTCGCTGCAGCTCTTTTGCACCCCTTTGGCACAGCATGTCTACACACTGCGCCAATGAAGTGCTTTGATGCCGCACGCCATGCGGGCGGGATGCGTGGCATGATGCCGGTGTCGGGGTGGAGTTGGGGAGGGCAGCGTGCGGTCACCCCATCCCAACTGCATCCCCAGGCCGGTCCTTTTGGCCAGTCTGCACAGGCCCTCAGTTGGACTAATCTAGTCTGGTTTAGTTGGTGGTTCTAGTAAGAGAGAAGGGAGGAAAAGTAAGAACAGCTGAGGTGCTGACACACAAATGGACAAAGAGTGGCTAAAGCCTGCCAAGCATTTGATTTTAATCTAACCATACTGATCTTGAAGTTAAATCACAAAAGATAATTTATTTCTGTATGTTTCACAATAAAAGTTACTGTTTGTCTTATAGTGGTTGACTTGGGACCCTAGCCCTTGTACATTTAAAGATAGTATTCAAAGATATAGCTGTGTTAGTCTGTAGAATCAGTACGTAGAGATCTTGTAGCACCTTTGAGACTAACTGAAAGAAAGAAGTTGGCAAAATGAGCTTTTGTAGACCTCAGTCTACTTCCTCAGATGTCTTTAGTGTTAAAGGGTGAAACTAGGGCATGCATTAGTGACAGGGTACCTTCTGAGGCTGGAAGCTGAAATCAACCTAGGTCATAAAAGAAGGTCCCATCACACATGGGTAAAGGATCGTGCATACTGGTGTGCATTTATCTAACAGAACTAAGCTCCAAGATCATAAAGCACAGACATCTAAATTTTAGCACGCATACTAAAAATGACCCTAGAGTGTGCCCTGTAATGGTTTTTTAAAACATATTCATAAGTATAATTTAAATTATGCAGTTAAATGTAAGCATTTAAATTGTCTGCAGTATCAACTTCAGTCACAATGTAGAAGGTGATCTGAGTCAGCAGACAGGTTTGCGAGTGTTAGTTTGAAGCTGTGTGTGGGGGGGTATCAGTTGGAAAAACAGAGTGGTAGACCTTCTACCCAGTCCTCCCTGCTGTAAGGCACTCACACTCCTCCGCCTGACCTCTGCACACCCAGGGCCTAAGGGGTGCACTATGGCAGGGGGTGGGCTGAGGGATCCCAGCAGCCAAAGCTTTTGTTGTCGTTAACTGCCTTCACATCAATCTCAATCCATGGTGAACCTATGGATGAGACATTTCCAGAAAGCTACACTCAGGCAAAGAGGGGACAAGACTCTAACCAATGTGTAATTGCTTGAAGGTTTCAGGGTATCAAATTAAGTACAATTCCAATCTGTGCAAAGCTGGGTACTTGTTCTAGTATGAAATTTCTAATATGAAATAAAACAAAGGCCCCAAACAATACTTATGTCAACATAAAATTATACAGTGCTAAAAGACAGTACCTCTTCAATTAGTTTAGTGTTTGACTTCTCTAGTGAATCAACACGTGTATGAAGGCTGCTCACGGTGCTACTGAAAATAAAAAAAGGCTAATTTCAAAATTACATCCCAAATCCTGCAACTCCAAGCAGCACTATCCCATTTACAAAACATTCTAGCACTTACTTAGAGGAGAACTAATAAATGAATTTGATAACCACCTCCACCATCACACTCTCTCAAGATGATATACTACACTGGCTTTTGTTTGCAGTCATCACATTGTCCCTTCCCTATCATGACTGAAACAGATATCATCCTGGCTCAGCCATGGAAACCCACTGGGAGACCTGGGCAAATCACACTTTCCCAGCTTCAGAAGATGGCAATGGCAACCCTGCTCTGAAGAAACTTGCCAAAAAAATCCCATGATAGGGGTTCACCATAAGTTTGCCTTAAGGTCACCATAAGTCGAAAATGACTTGAAGGCAAACAAGAAGAAGCCAGGAAGCAGCCACTTTTTCATACTTCCCTCCCTTGGTCATGATCCAACTAATTTCTAATTGTTGCCAATGTCAACAATCAGTGCTGACACTGATTAAAACAATTAATCTCTCTTGGTGCTGGCTCTAATTATCACCTCACCTAAATGGCTGTAGCCACTTCTTTTCACAATTTAGTAATAAGCCCATTCCTTTCTAAGGGCAAGCTCAAATTATGTACATTTGTATCCAATAGTGTATTTCTATATCCAAAATCAGCTGTATTGGGAATTTCTCTTCTCTCCTGCTAACTTGAACTTGAACAGGCAGGTAGTGATTGCTCAGATATTAAAAAGCACCTAAAAGTTGTAATGGGCACATCCCTTGAAACACTGTCACTTTCAAAAGTACCACCCACAGCACCTTTCTTTTTTTCTATCTACAATTATTAAACTGAGACAAACATAACTACAGTGATTTCGGCACCGCCTGCTGTAAATAAATAAATAAATCCCAGAAAAGTTTAATCAGACAATGCTTCTGTATGTATTTAACAAGTGACTCTATAAATACTTACTTCAGTTGTCGATTTAGTTCTTCAACATAATTCTTTTGATCCAATATGGTAGCAATATGGTCATTTCTAAAAAGATTTGTTAATATATTTAATCAGACATCCATATAAGCCTTGAAAATGCCATACATAAGAGTAGAAGTATTTTATTTTGTCAGCAATTAAAGTTTTTATTACCATACAGTTAAGTATTCCATGTCATTGTGCATGATGTGGAGTATGGCTTGCAGTACAGAATATCCTATCTAAGAACAGAGTGATCAACTGATCACTATCTGGTACCTTCCAGAACTGCATCTCTTAGAAATTAGAGAATCCTTTAAAACAATTTAAGATATTCGTCTTAACAAATATTCCAATCCCATGGTGAAAACACTAGGCTGAGGCTGCAATCTTGCAGAGATTCTGGACTAGTCTCAACATGCAGCAGGGTAAAGTGACTTGCTTCAAGCAGTATCACTGGAAATGTGAGAATGAAGGAGGTAGAAAATGCTGCATGAATGATGGAGAACAACTTTTTAAAATGTTGACTAAGCTACATAGTGAGGGTGCCATTTTCTCTTTGCTTCCAGAAGCAAAGTATTTTGTGTATAAAATTATCTTGGCCCTCTGGGCATTAAAATTGGAAAATGTACCATTTAAATCAGCAGGACTTGCTTTTGTATAAATATGCACAGGACAGAGCTGTAAGAGTGCTATTTCTCCTCTCCTGTCTATCCTGTAACTTGCACTGATCTTTTTATTACTATTTTTCCCAAATATTAATGTTTCATACATTTGTCTCTATGCTGACAATTTCTTTCAATACTGACAAAAAAGGCAAACTGGTTTCTAAAGATCTTTTTGCTATCTATAATAATATGTGCAGTTAATTTTTTATATTTTTTTCTTCTTAATAATGATGCTTTTAATTCTATTGGTAGTTTAAATATATTTAACTCTTGTAAGTAGTCTTGAGCAGTAGGAAAAAAGCAGGTTATAAATAAATTTCATCGTCATCACCATCATCCTAAACTTCTACATTCTTTTTAAAAACGTACCTTTCTTTGCTTTCTATATCATCTTCATTCTTTAAGTACATAGAAAAATCAATCACACCAACCTAAGAAGAAGCAGATTTATTAGCATGTTACAAAAAAGCAACTAAATATTTTCTATGAAAACATTCATAAGGGGGAATTCAAATATAGGTTGAGAAATATATATGAAAAAGTTATAACAGCATGCGGAATCTATGTAGTTCTGCTAGAAACATTCTTTAGTTAGAAGAAGCAAAAACTAAGACTAGAGGTCCTTTCTACACAATCTGTGTTTATAATAAATGACAGCTATTCATCTGGTGAGACAGAGTAGCGTAGTAGTTTGAGTACTGGACTACGACTCTGGAGACTAGGGTTCAAATCTCCACTTGGCCATGGAAACCCACTGGGTGATCCTGGGCATGTCACACACTCTGCGCCTCAGAAGAAAGCAAAGGGGAACCCCTCTGAAAAACTGTGCCAAGAAAAACCCCATGATAGGTTTGCCTTAGGGTTAAAGATAAAGGTAAAGGTCTCCACTTTGACAAGGTTGACAAGTTGTATCTGACTGTATGGGGCGGTGCTCATCACCGTTACTAAGCCGAAGAGCCAGCGTTGTCAAAGACAACTCTGTGGTCATGTGGCCAGTATGACTGCACAGAACGCTGTTACCTTCCCACTGAAGTGGTACCTATTTATTTACTTGCATTTTTACATGCTTTTGAACTGCTAGGTTGGCAGAAGCTGGCACTAGTAACAGGAGCTCGCTCCATCACGTGGCCACTTGGACCTCCAACTGCCGACCTGTCGATCTTACAATCATCAAAGTCAACATCTTAACCACTGAGTCAGGTTTGTCTTAGGGTCACTATAAATCAGAAATGACTTGAAGGCACACAACAACATCTGTTATTGGCAAAGTGCATTTTACAAGTCTTCATTCAAAGTTTAATCAACTATGCAAATCAATATTTTCCAAGCACTGACTTTTTATCAAATTTCACTTGTTTGCTATTGACTATACAAACTGTTTTCTAAGGTGAATGTCACATCATCTCAGAGTACTACTAGCCCAGATCCAACAGTGACCTTTGGTATCCAACATCACAGTAATTGGGATTTTCTTTCTTCCTCCCTCCCACAGCAGTGCTCTGTGGTGAGAAAACCCAGCATCTCAGAAGAGGTTTTTAAGGGCTGGGGGGGGGGGGCTGCAGGCAGGGAAGGAAAGAAAATACCTATTTTGAAGCCAGCAGTAGGAAATACACCACTGGCCTTAGTTTTTCCTCCCCTACTTTGAAAACTATGTTTCAATATTTCTAGTGTTTAAGGTTGGAAATATTAATCAAGCTGCATTCCCTCTACTAATGACAAAACAAAGATGTATACTTCAAAGAGCAGGGCAGAGATACTCACATGTCAGCATCCCTCTTACATCCATATGGTCTAGGCCTGATCACAGAACTATTATTCATGGGCGTTACAAGATAATCATATATTAAAATTGAACCAAGATAATCATGGTCTAGTTTAAGTATGTTCTGACCAACCAAATGTTCCTGATCAAAAAGTTTCATCATGTGAACTCCATCAATATTCCTCTGTAGAAATGACACTTTGTAAACCAGCCCTTCCATTGTGTTTTGAAGGAAGTAACTCTGTTTTACTTAGGAAATAACAAGCCTTCCAATCAACCACATCCTAACAAGAAAGTTATTCTTCTCTTTTAAGGGATTTTAGTACTTTGCATTCTGGCCTGCCGGCCGGTTGCACTCTACATGAGGCTACCCTTGTGCCTAACCCGGAAACTTCAACT